TTTCATAAAGACATTTATTCGGCGGTTGTTCAATCATTTTAGCAGGACAAGTTTGTACAGTACGTAAATCCTATTATTGGATCCATTAACTTTTCAGATTGTCTCGCCGTTATCGCCTTAATTTTAGCTACCTATATCTTTAACTTTTATTACAAATATTTTACTTGTCCCAATCGGCTCCCCGGTCCATTTCCTTTACCATTTATTAGAAACTATCATAACTTTGCCTATGATATTAAACGATTCGATGAGCAATGTCAACAGAAATATGGAGATATCAGTGAAATAATGCTCGATCGTAGATATATCATTCTTTCCAAGGTCACAATATATTAAAGAACTTTTTGGCTCATCAGCCTTTTTTCCGAGAATGCCGTATTCGCAAGGTACGGAAGAACTTGGAATGTACGGACATGGGATCATCTTCAATGAAGAGCTCCGGAGTTGGTAGTATAATAAACAGTTCTTTACTGAATCATTATCAATGAAATTTATGAATGCGTCTATAGAATCCGCAAATCAATTATTTAAAGAGCTAAGCGGATATTGGCAGCCGCTTGGAAGTCAAAATACTTCAAAGAAGAATAATAATAATTGGATATTGGAGACAGATTTTTCACATAGTTTCATGGATTCGCGAATAATTTATTTCAACAAAAATCACCGGAAAACGCACTTATCCAATTGCATCTTATTATAACACGCAAAGCAATAGGAGATCGGAACATCCTGATGCGCTAATCGAAAATGGAGACAAATTTGTAAAATCAATTCTAAAGTTCAATGAAGGTTTCAGATTCGTCACGTATGTTAACCCTTTTATGAGACATTGCGTTCCAATAATCAGCGACATAACAAATTATTATTTAAACAACCGTGATTATTTATTTGATGAATTGGATAGTATAATTACGAAGAAAAGAAAAGAGACTGAAGAAATGACAATGGATGCAGAAAAAAAACAGATATGCTAACTGTCGTGCTGATGACCAACACCCCTTGTATTGATATTGCTAGGGTTAGGTACGATCACGGGTCACCCGATCGTGACTGGGTAACGTTGATGGCGTGATCAGTGATGCATGAAATTAATTTAAAGTCTAATTGTAGAATTG